AGAGAGAGTTTATTATAAGAGAGCAGAGTATTATTATTATAAGAGAAGACAAGAGAGAAAGACCCTTCTAAAGAAGCAGAGTGCTATTACTATACAGAAGAGAAAGACTCTTATAATAGAGCTAAGTGCTGCCACTATATAGAAGAGGAAGACCTTTATAGGGGAGCAGAGTGCTGCTACTATACAGGAGAGGAAGACTCTTATAGGGGAGCAGAGTGCTGCTACTATATAAGAGAGAAAGACTCTTATAAGGGAGCAGAGAGCTGCTACTATATAAGAGAGGAAGATCTATATAAGGGAGCAGAGAGCTACTACTATTTGAGAGGAGATACTTATAAAGAAGTAAACTATAGTTTACTATTATAACTAAGATAAAAGGAAGAAAAAGTAGTTTATAAAAGAGCAGACACTACTATTAATAATATTACTTTTTTTTTATAAATAAAAGTAAATAATAAGATATTAAATAGGTTAAAATATATTATATTTAATTAATAGTTTTAGCTTTTATAATATAACTATTATAAATAAATAGTTACTAATAAATAAGTCTTTATAATTGTCAAAACCTACAGCTAATACAGTCGTGGGTTAAGCATGCGAGTAACAGGCGTAGGTGCACTACTAGCCTGTGGCTAGCGCTAAGGAAATTAGCTATACATATATAGCTAACTTCCTAAAGCGGCCTAGCGCTATGTTGATAGGCTTGTTGATCTAGATTGACAAGGACTAGCTTCACACTTATTACCCCTGATTAATAAGCTTACCCTTATACTTAAAAGGCAGCATTACCAGATCTAGATAGATTTAGATAGGCAAGGACAGAACCACAACAGGTAAACAGTATCCTCCTGTAAGGCAGTACTTTAACAATAATAATTATTATAAGTCTATATTTACTAATAAATAATTAATAAAAAATTTTTTCTAATATTAATAATATAGAAAATTATATTATAGTCTTAATTAAATAAGACCTAGATTTAGCTATAGATTTAACTATGTATATATAACTAAATTAGTTATATTAATCTAACATATATTATTTATATACTTATTATAATTAATAAACTCTAGCCTAGCAGAGTATACTAATAATTAATAAGGCTAATAAATAAAAGAATTAAATAGTTATTACTATAAAGCTAGATAATAAAATAGATCTTTATAATAATAAAGTATTAAGCCACACTTAATATCAGTATAAAGAGAATTTTGAGAATTACATTTGAGTTAGTTGCTACTAATAGAACTGGATTGTCAGGGGCGCTTAGAGTCTTGAGCGAAATGACAATCTAGCGTACGAATAGCGTGCGCTTTTCGCAGTCGTAAAGCACTATTAGCAGTGGCGACGAAGGATGAGCTCCTGACTTCTATAAGTCGAACGATGGAGAAACTCTGACTCCTAGAGTGCAGAGTTTTCTATTTGTGTATGCGCGCGCGCTAGGCGTCTGTAGCGTGCTTGGCACGCTTGGCAGCCTTAGCGCGGCGTAACATGGATACTCAAATAGATCTCTTTACAGGGGGAGTGTTAAGAAGTGTATTCGAGACCTATGTGAGGGTTATGCACAGAGCATACGTAGACTATACGTAGGCATGCGTAGGGCACGCTAAGGTTATATGATATATTATATGACATTAATGCTAGTGCAGATACATAAGTATCTACAGAATTCTTAAAGCTATTAAATAATATTATTTGTAGATTTATAACTTTAATAATTAGTCTAATATAACTAATTAAACATTTACTCTTATAATTTACTTTAAGTATTCTTAATACTAAGGCTATAGCCAGATCTTAACGAATTTTGATATTCTTAATACTAAGGCTATAGTACTCTTCTATAATTTTAATATTTCTAATATTAAGGCTACAGAAACAACCTTACTATTAAACGCAGGTACCTCCTTATTAAGGCTTAGTTAATTAAGATAAATCTTAACCTCAAGCTTAGTCTAAATAAGTTAGTTAGGTAAAACAGGAAGTATAGTAAATAATACTAGGATGTCTTCAACTTAGGTATGAGCTGATAACATGAGTTGACTACAAAGACTATGAAACTATCTAGGAAATAAGTGTGCTTATATAGGCTATGAGATTCGTGCTCACGAGTGCTCACAGTGGAACACCTCGTAGCATTGCTTGTGCGGAGACGTCCTTGAGTGTTGCTTATGGGGAGACGTCCTTGAGTGTTGCTTATGTGGAGACGTCCTTGAGCATTGTTCCCAAGTGCTCATGTTTGAGCACCTCTGAACGCTACATCAGAAGGTACTGACCTTGTAGGCAGTTCAGGGTCCTTAGACTTGTCTAAGCCTGTCATAGCTTCTTCGCAGAGCGCTAGGCAATCCCTTAGTGCCTGTTTATACTTAGTGTGTTCACATACTATAATACTCTTAATACTAAACCCTTAATAACAGGAGTCTTCTATAAGAGTCTATTCAAGATTATAAGAGATATTTGATATAGTACTTAAGTCTAGATAAGAGAGAATATAATATTTAAGCTAAAGACTAAGTGCTAGTCTATAATTAGCTTCGCATTACTATCTAAGCCAGGTTATATAATACTTTTGCTATATATTATTATAGCTACTTATAACTAGGAAATCAGACATCTTCTTCACTTCTGATTTTACATATAAGATAGCTGTTTCTCCTTGGCAACCTATTTTAAAGTCTGTAGAGTCGTAATTCTAGATCTCTTTATAAATTAAAAGCAAGCGTAACTTACGTACTACAGTTTCATCCGGATGAACATCCAATCTATGATGACAGTCTGTGCTTAGAGAAAACTCCCTGCTAACTTACTTACTCTCTAAACACTTTCAGCGCTATGTAAGGGCCGGAGCTAGGTGCCAGAAATAATGAGACTTCCATTCTACACCAGATTATTTGATCTAACTTTAGTGACGAATATAGCTGTTATACAAGTGATTAGTAATCTATAACTCTTATATATAATTAAACATGCTTTTTAAGATTATATTAATTATATTTTTGGCTTAGTTTATTACTTATAAGAGATATTATAACATATTATATTTTAAAAATTTCATTTTTAAAGTAATTAAAAATCATATTATAAAATAAATCTTTTATAACAAATAAGACTTTATATATTAAATATTAAAAACTAAGTTAAAGATTTTTAGAATTTTAGACTTTTATTTAATATAATATATTATGTAATCAATATTCTAAGTTTTACAAATATATATAAAGTATTAAAAATACTATATTATTATGTCTATATAGAAAGATTCTTAATAATAGCTATTAATAGCTGTGTATTTGCCTTTTATTAGAGAGTAACAAAATGTGGTATGGGACGCAAGTCTCATTATTTCCGTCACCTAGCTCCGGGCCCAAGATTTTCAATCTTGAGGTGCTAAAGCTGAGCTAAAGAGCGCTAGCTATACTCTTATCTTAGCGTATATTAAATACATTTAGTGTACGACTTCGCAAGCCTGACATGATCTTATTACGTACTTGCATTGATTATATCGAATGCATCCTCACTGTGATGGATGATGCATTTCCTCTGCCACGGCGCAGGAAATGCATGTGCCAGCCACATACTCAGGAGGCAACGCCTATGACTGACTCGCGGCAGCAAGCAAACTCCTGCCGTGGGGCGCTTGTCAAAGCGTGTGAGCTATCCGGACGGATTACGAATAGAGAGGTTCGCCTTACCCGATTAGGGAAGCCTAAACTTCACTATACGGTAGGAGGCCGGATTGGGAACTATGAATGCTCTGTGGCCTATGGCGTGGCCCACGCACACACAGGCCTCACCCGCTGGCGTTGGAGTATATGTATCTGTGCATGGCCACAGTGTAGATAGATTCTCCAGCTTTCGTTTTAGCAATCTATGGACTATTGACTTGTTCTAGTTTCGAGCCATTGCATAACCCTTATAGATATTATTCTGTATCTTAGTTAATAGCTCTTTTAAACTAAACTAGAATCTTTATAAACTAGATTATTTTAATAGTTATCTTAAACTCCTTTTTAAAGATTAAGATTTTCTTAATATTAGTTATATAAAGAGAGTACATCTTTGCTGCCGTCAGCCTATACACATTTTCAAGAAAGAGTGAGAGAGAAAGAATATACAGCTGATCGTGCTGAGCGCAATGAAAGTGTCAAACGTACAGAGCTATTGATTAGCTGCACGAGAGATTGCTCGTTAGTAGTCTGTACGCTTTTTTCTATATATCTTGTTTCTTCGTTTTTTGCGGCTTTTGAATGAAACAAAACCATTTCTTCGCTTTCTGATTGACACTATCGTAGTAGGACAGAGTACTACTGACTTAGTCGGTAGACTTGGAGTACAAAACAGGCCAAGACCTCAGTGTCAAAGCCATCAAGTTACGCTGTACAAGGTCGTGTCTCTGTCGCTGGGTATAACTACAATATCTATCGATCTCTATGTGATGCCGCCTATTTGTTCGAGTTCAAAGTTGTCTTTTTCCACGGGCTGAAAGATGGCCACTAGATCTTGGTCACTGGTATGTGTCAGCTAAGACAAATCTCATCTTCGGTGCCACGGGTGACGGCAGCCGAGTCCGCAGCTCATCCGACCAACACCAATGCTACTGTAAAATCTCATCCGACCTATGATCTTACTAGAAAGATAGCACTAACTAGATCTGTTAAGCAAGTTGTTTCCGCGAGTGCCTTGGCTCCTGTTTTCTTTTTGGTCCTTGGAACATGATTATTTTCAGATTACTGAAACTTTATTGTTGGATTTCATCATACTTATCTTTCTTACAATCAATATCAGGTCAAATCTGACTAAATTGTTAACCTCAAAATCTATAAACAAATGGAGACTAAGTCGATCCAATCATACCAATTCAATTGAAGAGATAGTAGCCTTAGTCGGATGACCTGTCGACTCCTCTGCACCTCAGCTCCTTTTCACACCCAAGCCTGATAGAGTCTCTAAAGCTGCCCAACACATTTCGGCACTTGAGCAACAGACGTCGACGACGATGGCTCCTGACGACATCCACTTCCCTCCATACCAAGGCCACTGCGTGAAGCTCTCGGTCATTAATGGAGCGAAAGCACACATGGCAACACAAATGCTTGTCCATCCTGTCCCAGACGGCCAGAAGTACATGAACTTGGCGTGTTACAGCTTCTTGATCGAGTCACCACACCGCAACCAGAAAGTCCTCTTCGACCTGGCTTTCATGAAAGATCTAGACGCCCGGATGCCACCATCATTGAAAGCCCTTTTTGCCGGCGATGAGCACGTCATGGGCATCGATGAGTTCCACCATATCCCTGACACCATCAAAGCTCATGGTATCGAACTCTCAGCAATCAACGCCGTCATTTGGTCGCATGCCCACATTGACCATGTTGGTGATCCCTCCGTCTTTCCACCCAGCACAGAGCTTGTCGTTGGCCCTGGCCTCAAAGCACGCTGCATCCCTGGCCACCCAACCAATCCCGATTCTTTCGTTCTCGACAGCGCATTCCAAGGCCGCAGTGTCCGAGAGGTCGACTTTTCCACCAGCGCCACAACTATCAACGGATTTCGAGCCGTAGATTTTTTCGAAGACGGCTCTTTCTGGCTTTTGGAAGCTTCCGGTCATACTGAAGACCACATCTGCGCTCTATGTCGGACGACGGAGGAATCCTGGGTCCTCTTGGGCGGCGACGCTTGCCATACTATTGCACAACTTCGACCAAATCGATTCAGACCGCTACCGAATTATGTACCTGCCAGCACACTCGGCAGGACACCACCGCCTGAACGATGCAGTTGTGCCCATATGTCGCGTCTCGTTCAGCAGGCCAAAGGGGGCTCATTCTACGATCTTGCGCCGGGGATGCAGGAGGACCTTAAAAGGGCGGAGGAAACGATTGAAAAGCTAAAGGCTTTCGATGGGAGGGATGATGTTATGGTAGTCATCGCACACGATGCTTCGTGGTTGGATGTTTTAGACTTCTTTCCGCAGAACATCAACGATTGGAAAGCAGCGGGCTGGGCAGTTCAAGGCAGGTGGTTGTTCTTGAGAGAGCTCGAAGGACTAGCGGCGGCGTCTTCATGAAAGCCTCCTCATACATTCTGCAATCATCGTGGAAATTGTGCCGCAAGTGTTTGTAGCCAAACAGTCCCGTCCTTGTTAAATCGGCCGACGCTTCGACTTTCCCTCGCTTATCCATTTCACTTGCTCATCTTCGGCTTATCTTCGGCTAGTCAAGTTGAATGACTGATTAAGGACCAATTTGAATCTGATCTTTACTCACGACAGTCATAACATAGGTTTCTTGGGAGGTCAAGGGTTTTCGTTTCTACGTCTGTTCGATTCGGGTGGTCAAAGTCCGCCGTACATCTCCCGCCGCATCCCATGGCAGACGTCAAGCGTGCCTACTCCTGGAGCAGTAGTGGCAAGGTCTTCATGAAACAAAGGGAAAGTTTCGGTATCACACGTACAGATCTTGTGCGCCCAACCAGCTCTGAGTATTGCGGGCGTGTGGGTTAGCTTAGCGACATTGAAATACGCACAAGAGGTCTACTAGTCATCAATGACATGTAAGTACATTATCGAGCACGAAAGGATATAGCGATTCGATTCGATTCGAGGTACAATGCGGGCAAGAGCCATAGATTCGGAAGCCGGAGCCCGGATGGTGGCAACTACTACCAATAGTGCTGGGGGAAAGTCACGTGAGCGGGCTGAGTCAGGTTTGGACTTCCATAACTAATGTATAAAACAGAGTACTGACAAGCGATATAAGTTTCTTAGCACTCCAATTCTTAGTAATAGAGCTTGCTGGGTATTTCAAATCTGAGAACATATTTTAAAATCTAACAGTACAACAACGTTACTGACACTGTCTTGAAAATAGAATATATTAGAATAGCTTAGATAGACTTAAGTAACACTGAGCTAAAATTAAGAACTTAGAAGTGAAGTGAAAACTAAGATGCTAAGAATTTATTACTTTTATTAATATATCTATAGTGTAATAATATTATTTAACCCTAAATTCTTAATATAAAAGGCGTATATACATTAACCTTAACACTTATAATAATAGCTCTAATTTTATCTTAGTCACAAATATTAATATTAGTAATAGCTTCTAAATTATAAAGTTACTTTATAACTTTAATTAAGCTTATAGTATTATTATTAGTAAATAATTATTATTTAAGCTTTATAATAATTAGTTTTTAACTTAAGATAAGTAAATTTTTAGTTAGAAAAGAAGACAAACCTGATTCTTAGTCAAGATATAAACTACTATAGTTATTTATACTTAGTTATACTTACTTATAATACTAATAAACATTATATAAATAAAAGTAAAGATATAGACTCTAATAAGGCTAGAGGGCGTGGGCTCTGCTCTTCTAATTAATAGAAACTATTAATACTAAAGAATCTACTTTTAATTATTATTAATAAGATATAACTAATATAGTTTATAAGCAACCCGCTTATATAAGTGACCTATCTACTTTTCTTTTACATTATAAACTTCTAATTATTATACACAACTATAATATAAGAAAATTAATTATTCTTTATATTATTATCTTTCTTAGTTATCTCTTTAATCTTCTGATAAATTTATATATTATAGTTAGGCTTACTATAATTAATACTAAAGAATCTACTTTTAATTATTATTAATAAGATATAACTAATATAGTTTATAAGCAACCCGCTTATATAAGTGACCTATCTACTTTTCTTTTACATTATAAACTTCTAATTATTATAAAATCAATTATTCTTTATGTTATTATCTTTTTTAGATGTCTCTTTAACCTCTTAACAGATTTATATATTATAGTTAGGCTTATTATATCTTTTGTAACGTTATAAGCCTAATAATCTAGTCTATATAATACCCTCTTTTACTAATCTTTTACTTAACTACTCTTATATAATCTCTTTCTGCTTAATTAAACTATATACATCCTTTATAGTAAGTACACCTCTAGCTTATATATATGTTTTTTTAGCTCTTTAACACTTTATAAGGGTCTTATTAGTCTTATAAAGTATACAGACCTTCTTATATAAAA